TGGAGGGATTTGAGCACAGGTGTTATATGCTCCCTCCTAGATGTTCCACTAATTAACCTGGCTGCCACCAATTGAAGTTTCCGGGTTAGGCACAAGGGTAGCCCTATGTAGAGTGCGTTACAGTAATCCAGCCATGAGGTTACCAGAGCATGTACCACGTTTCCAGATCCCTCATATCCAGATAAGGGTGCAGTTGGCGTATCAGCCAAAGCTGATAACAAGCACTCCTGACCGCTGCATTCACCTAACTAGTCATGTGAAGCGACGAATCTAGGAGTACCCCCAAACTGTGAACACAGTCCTTGGAGGAGAGTGTGACTCCATCCAGGACTGGAGACTGTATTCCCAAACCTGGTTTCAGGCCCGTGACTGTCAGTGCCTCCGTTTTGTCTGGATTTAGCTTCAATCTGTTTCTCCTCATCCAATCCATTACCGCTCTTAGACAGTCTTTAAGAGGAGAGACACCATCTGAAGTCTGAGCCGATGATCAACTCATTTGAGATGTGGTGCTGGAGAAGAGTGCAGAGGATTCCATGGACAGCCAAAAAGACAAACAAATGGGTCCCTGGATCCATCTCCCTGGAAGGCAAGATCACAAAGCCGAGGCTGTCATAGTTTGGACACATCGTGAGAAGGCATGTATCCTTGGAAAAAACAATAATGCTAGGAAAAGTGGAGGGAAATAGAAAGAGAGGAAGGTTGCATGCTAGATAGATGGACTCCATTAAAAAGATCATGAGTATGAGTTTGAAGGAGCTGGGCAGAGCAATGGAGGACAGGGGGTCTTGGAGATGTCTCATCTGCAGGGTCAAGATCAACTTGAAAGTGGTTAATAACACCAAAAACTTTGCTTTCCACTAATACACTTTCCTTGTGTCTCTCGGAAAGCTTGTAACTTGCTTGGTGCTCTTACTGATAGTGACTATCATGAAGAGGACAACCGTTCAAATGGACATTTTTAGCTCAATTGCAGCTTGTAATATATTTCTAGTCACCTTGTTTTATCGCACCAATCTTCCTTTTCTCCCCTTCTTGGATGAGATTATCCCTGTCTGCTATGAACTCATTCATAATAACTCTCTCTTAAATGGGGAAGCCACTGTGCAGATCCTCTCTGGCACCATCTGCTGCTGAACAAAAAAATTGTTGAGAAATGGGTGTCAGGATGGTTCTTTGTCCATTGGGTTATCAAATAACCATGTACCTTATTTTCCTGCGTATAAGACTACTTTTTAACCTGTGGAGAAAATCTGTGGTTAAAGTGGGGGTCGTCTTATACGCCGGGTATAAGGATAAGGAGGATAGAGATACTAAAACTCTATATTTTGACTGGAAAAATGGGGGGTCGTCTTATACGCTGGGTCGTCTTATACACCGGAAAATATGGTAAGTTGCTTGCTTAAGCCTACTGTGGTTTGTCTATACCACTGTCCCTTTCTGTTTCAATTTGTTCCTTTTTTTTCTTACTAGTGATAATTTCCTACATCCATTTCCTGATCTCTGGGACTGAGGGTTTCAAGAATGCTGGTATTGCAGTTACACCATATTTCCATATAGTCCAGTAACTTGAATGCAAAATACTAAAAATGGGTATAAATGTACTTTTATTAGCAGTTGCATTTTTAAATACACTTGAGGGGGAGTAAATTCAATTGAACTCAGTGGGATTTTCTAGAGTCTAATGTGCACTGCAGAAATCATGCATTTCAGCACTGGTTTAACTGCCATGGCTCCATGCTATGGAATCCTGACATTTGTAGTTTGTTGTGGCCCCAGAGCTCTCAGACAGAGAAGGCTAAATATCTCATGAAACTACAAATCCCAGAATTCCATAGCATGGAGCCATGGCAGTTAAAGCAGTGTCAAAGTGCATGATTTCTGCAGTGCAGATTAGACCTGAGTTAACAGGTATTGTAAAACCACTTCAGGGGTGCATGAAGCAGCAAATTGCTATGTAATATCAAAACAGACTGCATGTTTGACTGTATCATCACAATTTCTATATCATGTTACATTTGTAAAATAAAATATTTGATTTAAAAACCTATAAGCATCAGAAAATTTTGGTGCACTGCATTCAATTTACGTTAGGTTCTTTCAGTGCTTCCTTTATAAGCAGAAACAGCCTGTGAAGGAGAAGGAAAAAACCAAGAGCAATATTTAACACTTCTATAGGGCTTTGCAGAAAGCAAATTACCTCAATAGATTATTTCAATAATCTTGACAGCAACAAAGACAATTAATTATGGGAAGGCCACATAGGCTGACAGATAATGGCTTTGTCTAAAGTCACATTGTGATTCAATGGGAAAAGGTATATTTAGGAATCTGATTTCCTGGATCACCATTCTGTTTCTTATCCCCAAATGATACCACCTGATAGGAAAGTGAATATGAGAACACTACCCTGGACGACACAGATGTATTATTGCATTAGCTATGGTAGGCCTGCATGGGCTATGGGAGGGATACAGATTTAAATAAAAGGATTCAGGCAATGGACTGGAAATCAGTGGTGGGCACAGATTGCTGAACTTGGTGTTAGAAATAGAG